CTCTCTCTCTCTCTCTCTCTCTCTCTCTCTCTCTCTCTCCTCTCTCTCTCTCCTCTCTCTCTCTCCTCTCTCTCTCTCTCTCTCTCTCCTCTCTCTCTACTCTCTCTCTCTCTCTCTCTCTCTCTCTCTCTCTCTCTCTCTCCCCTCTCTCTCTACTCTCTCTCTCTCTCTCTCTCTCTCTCTCTCTCTCTCTCTCTCTCTCTCTCTCTCTCTCTCTGCTTGGCATCGGCCTGAGACCTCGGCGGGCCCTCGAAATACAATTAGAGCCTCAATGATATCTTTGTCTCCTCCGCGCCGTGCCCCTCGCACCCCGACCCGACGCCCCGCGCAGAGCGGCGCAGAGCCGAGATCATGGAACGGGCCAAACTTGGTAATAAATTATATTAATGCCGTAACGTGTCCAATCGGATCCCTGATTGAAACGGAGGGACTCGCTGAAGACGGCGTTGCACAGTGGGCCAGAAGACCGGTGGAGGTGGCCAAAGTCCTGGACGGGTTTTGAGCTCCAGAGTCGGTAAGTGGGACTCGAACCGAACGTGTGACCCTACCAATGGATTGCTCTCCATTGGCGGGGATCCGCGTTCGGCTTGAGTCCTGTTCAGCGACTCTGGAGCTCAAAACGCGTCCAGGACTTTGGCCACCTCCATCGGTCTTCTGCACGGAAAAAAATCCCTTAGTTGTGACAGCTAATGCATTGGCTGATATGGGGCCAGCCAAGAATCAGCAGTCGTGGTAACTAAAAATATTGCTAGCAGCATCAGCAATCATGCCTGGTCGCGACAGCCAACCACATTTGTTGTGCTAGCTAATCCCTCAGTTACAAACGCTAATAAATTTTTTACTCTCCGAAAAATACTGAGACGGGAATAGAACCCGGGACTACTGGCTGAGAACCGTGCTCGGAGGCACTGAGCCACGGAAGCACACGTGTGGGTCGTATGGCCTGCCCCAATGTCACTCCGGGTGGAGGGCCGAAAAAAATACTTCGCAACTTTGATCGCAGTTGAAGTAAGGCTTTGAGGGACTGCATGATTTGCGCGTGCAGCTAACCCCATTAGTTGTCTCAGCTAAGAACCCCACGCTGGATCAGTAAACGTGGGAGTGGCTCTCACGGCAAACACTATCAGTTGCGGTAGCAAAAGCATCATGGTTTTCATAGCTGAACCTCCTACTGTCTGCCTTAGCTAATTTAAAATTTGTAGCCACGGCAATGAGGGTTATGTTTTATAGCTAAGATAATGACTGCGGTAGCTGAGAACATTAGCTGGCGCCATATCAGCTAACACATTAGCTGTCACAACGAATGCTCAGCTGTAACAACTAAGATATTTTTTTCCGTGTGGCCCACTGTGCGCTGCGAGGCGCAATGAGGTGGCAGGCAAGCGGCCTCCGCAAGAGGTGCCAGACTTTAATTGCAAGCCAATGCGTCCGTTTGTTTGGGCCCCGCCAGGTCTGTCAGGTTGACGAGTGGAGCGAGCCGAGCCGAGCCGAGCCGAGCCGAGCCGAGCCGGACGGGGCGGCCGAAACAAAAGCACATCCTGTCCAACTTAATTTGGGCCACGTGAATGGCGGCGCGCAAATAAAAGGAGGAAATACAAGTTGGCAAGAATTTGGGGCGGCGAGCGAATTTGGGCGGCGAGCGCACAGTGGGCCAGACGACCGGCGGAGGCGGCCAAAACTCGAGACGCGTTTCGAGCTCCGCGACGCACTAGTGTGACTTGTTCTTTGCAGAGTGAACGAGTTTCCTCCTCTCCCCCCGGGACAGGCCTCCGTGTGAGGATCATCGAGGTGGTGTTTGTGGACCGATTGGCAATTTGACAATCGATTTCACTGCAGGGCCGGGCGCAGGCCGGGCCAGCAGGCCACGCCACACTGGAGGCGAGGGGAGGGGTGGGGGCATGGTGCAGTGGGCTGTTCTTTGTTTCCTTCAAGTCAAATCGGACTCGAACCGAACGTGTGACCCCACCAATGGAATGCTCTCCGAACGAGGAATCCATTGGTGGGGTCACACGCCCGATACGAGGCCTGTTCAGCGACTCTGGAGCTCAAAACGCGTCCGGGGTTTTGACCGCCTCCACCGGTCTTCTGGCCCACTGTGCAGAGGGTACCAGCATGTCGGCATGGGTAGCGCGGCGAACGGCATAAAGCAAAACGGCACTGCGTTCCACTGCGTTCGACGAGCGACGGTCGTGGGAGGGGCGCGCCAGGGCGGCAAGAAAAAGAGGGGGTGGGGGAGACATGACGATGATAAAGACGGCAAAGCGGATCAAAGTGTGTGTTTGCTGGATGAAGAAGCGCTGGGAGGGGCGCTACACCACAGCGGCCGCCGCCTCGACCGCCGCCCCACACGCCCACACCGCAGCGCGGCCAGGGCACAGTGGGCCAGAAGACCAGTGGAGGCGGACAAAACTCTAGACGCGTTTTGAGCTGCAGAGTCGCTGAATGGGTCTCAAACCGACGTGTGACCCCACCAATGGAATGCTCTTCGAACGAGGAATCCATTGGTGGGGTCACACGTTCGGTTCGAGGCCTGTTTAGCTACTCTGGAGCTCAAAACGCGTGTAAGGATTTCTCCACCTCCACCGGTCTTCTGGCCCACTGTCCAGGGCCGACCCGCCTCGGCCACGGCGATGATTGGCGCGGCACGGCCGCCACTCACAAATCCCTCCCTAAGCCCCTTGTCTCCTTTGTAGGTCATTTCCTATACTCCTACACTGTCTCGCGCCACTGCGTGAGCCGCCAGCGTGACCGCACGCGTGTGCGCAGTGGGCCAGAAGACCGGTGGAGGCGGCCAAAATCCCGGACGCGTTTTGAGCTCCAGAGTCGCTAAATGGGTCTTGCACCGAATGTGTGACCCCACCAATGGATTGCTCTCCGAACGAGGAGTCCTTTGGTGGGGTCACACGTTCGGTTCGAGTCCTGTTTAGTGACTCTGGAGCTTAAAACGCCTCTCTAGTTTTGGCCGCTGCACCGGTCTTCTGACCCACTGCACACGGGATGTGCAAGGCTTGACAGTGTACACTCCGTGTCGTCGCGTCGCCATGGCAACGGGCGTGCGTGCCTGGGCGTGCCGCGCCACGCACGCCAACATCACGGCCAGGGCATAAAATAACGGAAAAAGGCGGCTACATAAAGAGCGCAGAAGATGGCTTTCGCTTCGGCCTCCACCGCAACGAGGGGCCACGGGGTAGGGCCCGCTCTGTCTCTCTCGCACCCCCGCTGTAAGCTGAGAGAGAGAGAGAGAGAGAGAGAGAGAGAGAGAGAGAGAGAGAGAGAGAGAGAGAGAGAGAGAGCGACGAGGGGGTTACGCGGGGATTAATGCCGACGGGGTTAATAGCCAGCCAGCCAGGCAGCCCAGACAGGAAGCTCCTCAAACTTTGCCTCATTATTTGGAGGAGCCGCCGATTACCACAGAGGCGTTCAATTACACATTCATCCGCCACCAATCTTCGGGGATTTACCGCCCTACAGTGTGTGTCCGCGTCCACCGCCGGAGACGCAAAATAATTAAATGCCTGTTAAAATTGTTCTTCGTCTTCCCCGTGCGATTGCATCACGCACAGTGGGCCAGAAGACCGGCGCCGGCGGCAGAAACTCTCGACGCGTTTTGAGCTCCTGAGTCGCTAAACAGGACTCGCACCAAACGAGTGACCTTACTAATGGATTCCTAGTCAGGAGAGCAATCCACTGGTGAAGCCACAAGTTCGGTCTAGCGACCATGGAGCTCAAAACGCGCCTTGAGTTTTGGCCGCCGGCGCCGGTCTTCTGGCCCACTGTGCGGCCCACCCAACCCCGGAACATTAAATGAAACAAATTAGTTTGAAGGGAAAGGGAGACCCGAGCTACATCAGATATTGACAGGACAGTAATAGCCGATTCAATTAATCTTTCCGCATATTGACCAACTCGACTGACACTTCATCTTCTTAATTTTATAAAACCTCGAAACATTCGACCAACATTTTCTCTTTTTAACTATACTGACGAAAGCGACTAAAATTTTGGATCAGATTACTTTATTTCTTTTCAAGAGTGTCAACAACAAACTACATCTCAGGTGGAGCGTGATTGGTGGAGAGGGGCGACCAGACTAACTGGCTCTGAATCCGGAATGACAAGTGGGCGATCACGGGGCGAGTGTGTTTCCGGTGTTCCACCGACTCGGCTCGGCTCCGGCTCGGCTCGGCTCCGGCTCGGCTCGGCTCGGCTCCGCCAACTTGGATCATTACGCCCTCTTCGTTAACGGCTCCGGCGGGAAGCGCTTGGAACTTGCGTGGTGTTTAAAGCCCGAAAAGTGACAAAGTCTCGCCGTCTGTGCTTTGCATCGCGATGAGGAAAAGGAGTCACACACGAAAATTATTTTTTAAAAGGAAAAGCAAAATTACCATTGAGATGTTTTACGGCGAGAATCCGCTTTCTTGATTCCCTGACCTTGACTGCCTCGGCTGGTGCTCTCCGCATCCAACCTGCAGCACACAGTGGGCCAGAAGACCGGTGGAGGCGGCCAAACTCCCGGACGCGTTTTGAGCTCCAGAGTCGCCAAATGGGACTCGAACCGAACGTGTGACCCCACCAATGGATTGCTCTCCGAACGAGGAATCCCTTGGTGTCACACGTTCGGTTCGAGTCCTGTTTAGCGACTCTGGAGCTCAAAACGCGTCTAGAGTTTTGGCCGCGGGCACCGGTCCTCTGGCCCACGGTGCGCTGGTTGGACTCTGACCGTTTCTGAACGACGACAGGAGCTCGAAACGCGTGTGCAGTTCAGGCCGCCCGCGCCGGGCTTGGCCCAGTGCGGCGGCCGCTCGGCCGGTCCGCACAGCCTCCGCGTCCCACACGGCTCACCTCAGGATGTCAACCAGCGGCGCAGACAAAGAAGGTGAGGTGGAGGGGGCGGACCGAGGCAAGCGAAGCGAAGGCGACAAGCAAACTATTGATTAGGGTGCGACCCACTTTTCCAATGCTTGCGGCGCTTGCGGCCCGCGGGGAGCCCGGAGGCTTGCCCGGAGGCTTGCCCGGAGGCTTGCCCGGAGGCTTGCCCGGAGGCTTGCCCGGAGGCTTGCCCGGAGGCTTGCCCGGAGGCTTGCCCGGAGGCTTGCCCGGAGGCTTGCCCGGAGGCTTGCCCGGAGGCTTGCCCGGAGGCTTGCCCGGAGGCTTGCCCGGAGGCTTGCCCGGAGGCTTGCCCGGAGGCTTGCCCGGAGGCTTGCCCGGAGGCTTGCCCGGAGGCTTGCCCGGAGGCTTGCCCGGAGGCTTGCCCGGAGGCTTGCCCGGAGGCTTGCCCGGAGGCTTGCCGGACCCGGAGGCTTGCCCGGAGGCTTGCCCGGAGGCTTGCCCGGAGGCTTGCCCGGAGGCTTGCCCGGAGGCTTGCCCGGAGGCTTGCCCGGAGGCTTGCCCGGAGGCTTGCCCGGAGGCTTGCCCGGAGGCTTGCCCGGAGGCTTGCCCGGAGGCTTGCCCGGAGGCTTGCCCGGAGGCTTGCCCGGAGGCCGCGGGGGATGGCAGGGGCGGCGGAGGGGGCCGCACTCCGGTGTAGTGCAGATAAGCAAAGAATGTATGCCAGTGTAAGGTGCTGCGATCAAGGGCCGGGCCGGCCAGGCCAGTGGGAGGGGAGGGGCGTGTCGCTGGGGCTAGGATGCGGGCGCCGGGAGGGGAGGGGGAGGGGGCGTAGGGTGTCGACAATCGCTTGTTCGGCCACCCCTCCCCTCCCCCGGCGCCGCGCGCAGCCGTCCCAGAACAAGCCAGGCTAGCAGCGCTAGCAGGCTCATGGACCGGGACGGGCGGGACGACCGGGACCGGGTTGGCTCTAACATTAGGGCAGGGCCGGGCAGGGCCTGCTGCTAGTCGCCTCCGAACATTCGCCTCGCTCTGTCGCACTCGACGGGGCGAGAGAGAGAGAGAGAGAGAGAGAGAGAGAGAGAGCGACGAAAGCGCCGTCCGGAGTCAGTCCGCTATGGCGGAGGGGTGTCGCGCCCCCGGTGGCCCGGTGGATGTTAATGGAACTCCAGAGGACAGTCCCGCGCGGTCCGCGCCGCCGCGCCGCGCCCCTCTCGTGTGTGTGTGTGTGTGTGTGTGTGTGTGTGTGTGTCAATGGTTCGCCGCGCATGTTTTTCGTCGGCATGCAGTGTGGGTGTGCATGTGTGTGTGCAGGTGTGTGAAGGTGTGTGTGTGTGTGAGTATGTATGTGTGTTTGCGTGCGCACGTGTTTGTCTGGCCGGTAGAAATTAGGAAGTTTGCTCTTCGGCCCCGCCGCTCTTCACCGAATAACACCCCCTCCCCTCGCCTCGCCCCGCCCCACCCCGCCCCGCCCCTGCCCGGACCGCGACTACTGACGCATCCTCTCAAATTCAGGAACGCACCCGTGCGCATCCGCCTCCAACCCTTTCTCTCTCTCTCTCTCTCTCTCTCTCTCTCTCTCTCTCTCTCTCTCTCTCTCATACACACACACAATCCCACACGTAGAGAGATAAGGTGGGACGACTGGCGAGCTTGCCTAATGATAAGACAACGCAACATAGCAGGGGTCAGCAGTCTCCCGAGAACCGAGCCAAGAGCCCCTGCCTCCATTTGCGCCCCCCCCCTCCTCCCTCCCTCCCGCTCGCTCCAACTCCTTCCTTCCCGCCAGCTCCTCCCGCACAGTCGCCACTGAAGATTAGAAAGTCCAATATGAAACAAACTCGAGTAGTCCCGAAAGAACTTGCCAAGGAAAATTCGCGCCTTCGCGCACGAGGTGTGGGTCCGCAGCGAGGAGGGGCCGCCTGGGGCAAAAAAGCACCACGGCCGGAAAAGCTCCGTCGGTTCGATTTGATCCGTCAGCAATGTGGCGCGCTTGTTTGCTTCTCACAGTGGGTCGGGATTCACACAGTGCACAAAGGGCCGGAAGGCCAGCGGAGGCGGCTGAAACTCTAGACGCGTTTTGAGCTCCAGAGTCGCTAAATGGGACTCGGACCGACCGTTTGACCCCACCAATGGATTCGTCGTTCGGAGAGCAATCCATTGGTGGGGTGATACGTTCGGTTCGAGTCCATTTCAGCTACTTTGGAGCTCAAAACGCGTCCTGGATTTTGACTTGACCGCCAGCACGGATCGTCTGGCCCACTGTGCCACGGGTGCCAAGCAGACGCCAGTCCGAGAATCCTTTTTTGTCGCTCCGTCTCTCTTGCACTGATGCAGCGTCCCGTCAAGGTGCGAGAGAGACGGAGCGAGGATGAGAGCGGTGCTCGGAATTAGTCTGCAGCACAGCAGGTGCGCCTTGGCCTAAAGCGCCACGCCTCGCCACGCCTGGCGCTTGCCAGGTCCCTGGAAGGTCCCTGATCCCTCGCAGCCGCACAGCGACGCAGAGCCCACCGGGCCCTGCAGCAGCAGCCATCCATCCATCATGCAGACAACTCCACCATCGGCCAATTTGAGAGGGCCAAGTGGGCCAGAAGACCGGTGGAGGCGGCCAAAACTCTAGACGCGTTTTGAGCTCCAGAGTCGCTAAACAGGACTCGAACCGAACGTGTGACCCCACCAATGGATTGCTCTCCGAACGAGGAATCCATTGATAGGGCCCCACGTTCGGTTCAAGTCCCATTCAGCGACCCTGTAGCTCAAAACGCGTCTAGAATTTTGGCCGCCTCCACCGGTCTTCTGGCCCACTGAGCGGCACGGCGCGGCCATACAAAACGCGATAATAAAGCAGGACGAGGGAAACTGGCTCGGAAATTAACACGAAACATTTTCACTTGGCAGCCTGTCCTCACAATGCCGGACAGGATGCTCATCGTTCCGGTACTATTTCCTGCTGCGTCTCTCTCTCTCTCTCTCTCTCTCTCTATCTCTCTCTCTCTCTCTCTCTCTCTCTCTCTCTCTCTCTCTCACGCCGAGAGGCGTCCTCTGCCCGCGGCTAGCTTCACAGCCAAAACTTGGCAAACTTGATCCCCTTTATGACGTGGGCGGTTCAACAAACTGGAGACTGATTCCGAGCGAGTCGCTTTCGTCGCTCTGTCTCTCTCGTGCCGACACGGGACGCCCCACGAGTGCGAGAGAGACAGAGCGACGAAAGCGACTCGCGGGATTGGTCTGCGCACTGTTAGGCTCCGCTTGGGCTTTTCGTATAGTGAGTCAAACCCGCCAGGAGTATGCCGTCTATACTTTTTAAAAGTATGCCGGAGTATACCTTTGCCCCCACACTAGTACGTATGCCCAACATACGTTTTTCAAAAGGTATGGCAGGCGGCTTCCCCCCCCCCCCCCCCCCCCCGCCTTTTCGCATACCTTTTCAAAAAGGTCAACCTCAGCCTTACAGTGCGGGACACGATCACGGCGCGGGGAACGAATTGGTGGCGGCGCCGGAAGCGCCAGTTGGATTACAAAACCCACACACTGTAAAAAATTGCGTACTTACGTACGTAAAATAGTACGGAAGTATACGGAAAAAAGTGCGACGGAACGTCCATACTTGCCGCATAAGAACTCATGAAATCGGGTACGGAAAAACGCACTAGTAAGTGCATGCTTGGCAGGCATACGCTAGCTGGAGCGTGCTTGCAGGCATGCTCCAGTTAGAGCATGCAATGTACGCTCTTCGATTTGTAGAGTACGGACGGTCCAGGCAAATTGTTGACCGGACACGTTCCGTACTTTTTCTGTACTCTTTTCTCGCAGTCCAGTTGGACAAAATCATTGTTGTTGTTGTTGTTGAAGATTCGAGCAGCCAACAACAACAACAACAACAACAACAACAACACCTTATCGCGTGCCGCCCCTCCTCAACAGCACGCACCGTATCCAGGTGAAGGTGCCGCTTCCATGCCAAGGGCGCCTCCCCCTCCCCCCTCCCCCTCCCCCCTCCCCTCCCTCTCCCCCCCTCCCCCTTTCCGGGCGTGTGCCGCTGACCTAATAAATCCAATGCAAGGGCCCGTCCGTCGCCATTCCGCACTGCAGGCCGAACGTCGCTTTCGTCGCTCTGTCTCTCTCGCACTCACGGGGCGCCCCGTGTGGGTGCGAGAGAGACAGAGCGCCGTTCGGAATATCGCCCTCATGCATCGGCTGAAATATGCATCGCGCCATCAGCAAAGACAAAACGCGCTGCTGTTGTTGTTGTTTGCGGCGCGCGGAGGGACCGCCAGATTACGCAGGTGTGAGAGAGACAGCGCGACACTTGCAGCGCACGGTGGGGGCGGCCAAAATTCAAGGCGCGTTCTGAGCTCCAGAGTCGCTAAATGGGACTCGAACCGAACGTGTGACCCCACCAATGGATTGCTCTCCGAACGAGGAATCCATTGGTGGGGTCACGACGTTCGGTTCGAGTTCCATTTAGCGACCTGGAGCTCAAAACGCGTCTCGAGTTTCGGCCGTCTCCACCGGTCGTCTGGCCCACTGCGCAGCGGAGCGCCGTGCCCACCTCGCGGTTGCTCGCCTCCCTCGGGGCCTTGTTCACGACGTTGCGCGCCATCCGGCTGCGGAAGACATTTTTCAAAAATTCTCTACACGCTTTCCGCCGCTTGCCGCACGGATTGCGCCGCCGGCTTGCTGTCTCTCCCACTGGAAAAACAACAACAAAACACAACCAGCGAAAACGGAACCCTCGCGGCCTCACGTCCAAGTGACGACGCGGCACTGCAAGGGCCTCGCCCACCGCTCGCAATTATTCATTCGCCAATCGATTGACTAGTGGAATGGTTCGGGAGGCGTTCGGCACGCGGCACGTCACGTCACTGGCATGTGACTGGTACGTCACGTCACGTCACTGGCACGTCACTGGCAACGAACGGCACGTGACTGTCACGTCACACAGTGGGCCAGAAGACTGGTGGAGGCGGCCAAAACTCTAGACGCCTTTTGAGCGCCAGAGTTGCTAAACAGGACTCGAACCGACCGTGTGACCCCACCAATGGATGGCTCTCCGGACGAGGAATCCATTGGTGGGGTCACACGTTCGGTTCGAGTCCCGTTTAGCGACTCTGGAGCTCAAAACGCGTCTAGAGTTTTCGCCGCCTCCACCGGTCTTCTGGCCCACTTCGTTTCTCTGGCAGTGACTTCACTCGGTAACATCCCACAGAGTAGTGCCATACCTGTGCGTACGTAGATACGGCGTGTTTTCGGAAGGGGCGGTAAAAAAGGGGGCGCTGGGACGGGGTGGAGGGGGGAGGGGGGGGGCGCACGGCAAACATGTGGAGTCCCGCAGAGGTGAGGCTAAGCCCCTGTGCGGGCAGAGGGACGGGGGTTAAATAGCCCGGTTGCCTACAACCAGAGGGGCGTGACAGAATAGAGACGGGGGCGGGCGGATAGAAGAAATCAAGAAAGGATAGAAAAGTGGAGATGGGGGAGGGAGAAAGACGGACGGGACGAATGAAGTGGAGGAGTGAGAGAAGAAGAGCCGATAGAAACAACAAGTTAGGGCAAAGATGGGGCTAGAGAAAGGGTTATACGGGGAAAGCGGATAGATAATCTGAGGTGTGTAGAGCACGGAGTGGGCGGGGAAAGGGAGGGGGTGGCGGATAGAGAAAAAAGACCGGTGGATAGAGAAAAATTGAGTAGGAAGGGAGGGGGTGGAAGGGTGAGGGTAGCGAGGTGGTGGGGAGGATGGACAAGAAGGACGGCGAGCACGCTGCACAGTGGCGTCTCTCTCGCACGGCTGCGGCGCGCCGCAGCCGTGCGAGAGAGACAGACAGGCCTACGCAGCAGGTCGCGTGGCCTCTTTCATTTCCGGCGGCCTGGCCTGCCGCGGCACGGTGGGCCAGAAGCCCGATGGAGGCGGTCGAAATCCCGCACGCGTTTTGAGCGCCAGAGTCGCTAAATGGGACTCGAACCGAACGTGTGACCCCACCAATGGATTGCTCTCCGAACGAGGAATCCATTGGTGGGGTCACACGTTCGGTTCGAGTCCCATTTAGCGACTCTGGAGCTCAAAACGCGTCTAGAGTTTTGGTCGCCTTCACCGGTCTTCTGGCCCACTGTGGGCCCGTCCTCCTGGCCTGGCCTGCCCTGGCTAGCTGCATGCAAGCAGAAAACAGCACGTCGATATCTCCCGCGCCAGACCGCAGGCTCGACCTGCAATCCGCCCAATTAACGGTGGAGTTGCTGAACTAGACAAGGAAGATATCATCAGGAAAGGCGAGACGAAGGCAAGGCACCGGGGCACAGTGGGTTTGCCAGAAGACCCGGTAAAGGCGGCCGAAATTCTAGACGCGTTTTGAGCTCCAGAGTCTCAAAATGGTACTCGAACCGAACGCGTGACCCCACCAATGGATTGCTCTCCGAACGAGGAATCCATTGGTGGGGTCAACGTTCAGTTCGAGTCCCATTTAGTGACGATAGAGCTTAAGATGCGTACAGAGTTTCGGCCGCCTCCACCGGTCTTCTGGGCCACTGTGCGGGGGCCAGTGAGAATTCTAGTAAACGGCCGGGTAAAAGGGTACTCCAACGGGAGATGAAGGTATTGTAATTGTAACAGCCAAGCGAAGCGAAACTACTTAGATTTGCGTTTCAATTTTCGGATTACTATTTAAATTTTCATGGGACTTTATTTTTAAATCATGTAAATTCCTCCTCTTGGAATCCGAAAATAATGTAGTTCCAAGACGTCGTCACGTCTTCAAAGACGACTGCCGGGGCAGCAGACAAGGCGGTGGAAACTTTGCGCGGGGCCGCGGCCTCCACCGAGGCCCAAGGACTGGGTAAGTTAAGGGCACTGCAATGGCGGGCGCTGCACAGTGGGCCAGAAGACCGGCGGAGGCGGCCAAAACTCTAGACGCGTTTTGAGCTCCAGAGTCGCTAAATAGGACTCGAACCGAACGTGTGACCCCACCAATGGATTCCTCGTTCAGAGAGCAATCATCCATTGGTGGGGTCACACGTTTGGTTCGAGTCCTGCTCAGCGACTCTGGAGCTCAAAACGCGTCTGGAGTTTCGGCCGCCTCCACCGGTCTTCTGGCCCACTGTGCGCTGCAATAGTGGGCCGGTGTCAAGTCAAGTCAAGGAGGCGGCAGGCGCAACCACAACAAGAAGCTCGACGCAATTTGAAAGTCAAGTCGACGGTTAATTTGGAAAGGGCCGACATCAAAGAGGTGTCGAGGGAGCGGGCGCGAGAGCCCAGGGACGTGCGGGCTTTGGGACAACGATTCCGAGAGTCGTTTTCGTCGCTCGGTCTCTCTCGCACTCACTGTGCGTCCCGTACGTAGATGCGACAGAGACAGAGCGACGAAAACGACTCTCGGAATCAGTGTGCCGGCCAACACTCGGCCGACACCCAGCCGATCGGGCCGCACAAGGGACAAGGGTTGAGACCAGACCACGCCTCGCTACAAAAAACTTGCACGGTAAAAACGGTTCCTGGTTTTCCCACGAACCCCCTGGAAATCGCCTATGTCTCCACCATATGGTTCCTGGGA